GTTTCTATGCACAGCCAGGCAACAGAGGCAGATTGTTTGGTTCCCCCACTCCAATCCCTCACCAAGCCAGCGTCGCTGCCACGTTTAGTCTGGGCTCAGCAGCCGTCAGCGATGGAGCTTCCTCTTGCGTCTCCCGCCAGCTGCGAGTTGCGGTCTGTTATTCGTTTCCTGGCCGCTAAGAAGAAATCGGCGAAGGAAATTCACGAAGAACTTTGTCAAGTGTATGGAGAAGACTGTATGAGCTGCGGGATGGTGCGCAGATGGGTCAGGGACTTTAAAAATGGCCGAACAGACGTCCACGACGAAGCCCGTGCAGGACGGCCATCGGTTTCCGACGAAACAATTGCCAAAGTCGAAGCGGCAATGCTTGAAGATCGACGGATTACAGTTCGGGAGCTGTGCACAAAGATTCCGGAGGTCAGCAAAACCACAATTGACAAGATTTTGACTGAACATTTAGGCTATTCAAAGGTCTGCGCAAGATGGGTACCAAGAATGCTCACTGCAGAAGTGCAGACCTGCGGCGGCGGCGGGTTGAAGCGGCCCAAGAATTTCTCGCCTTTCACGGAACAACCGAAGAGGAATTTCTGGACTCTATTGTTACTGGTGACGAGACCTGGGTACACTACACCACACCGGAAACAAAGGAGCAATCGAAGCAGTGGAAGCACTCTTTTTCACCAAGAGCAAAGAAGTTCAAACAAATCCTGTCTGCCGGGAAAATCATGGCTAGCGTTTTTTGGGATCGAAAGGGCGTATTGTTGTGCGAGTTTATGCCTCGCGGGACAACAATCAATGCTGACCGGTACTGTGAGACCTTGAAAAAACTTAGACGTGCCATTCAGAACAAGAGAAGAGGAATGCTGACGAAAGGAGTGCGTTTTCACCATGCCAATGCCCGACCGCACACCGCCAATCGAACCACAGCCCTCATCGAAAGATTTGGATGGAAAATGGTGTCTCACCCACCCTACAGCCCAGACTTAGCACCAAGTGACTTCCATCTCTTCCCTGAGTTGAAGAAAAACCTTGGCGAAACCCAATTCCAGACAGATGAAGAGGTGCAAAACGCGGTTGTTAGTTTTCTACACAGACAGGCGGCAGAGTTCTATGACTCTGGTTTGAAGAAGTGGGTGCCTCGAATGCAGAGATGCATAGAACGCAACGGCAATTATGTAGAAAAATAAAAGAAAGACTGAACTTTCCAAAAATGCATTTTCTTTGCAATTAAACCAATTTTTTGATATGAAAAAAATTTGTGGAACTTATTTTACAGACACGCCTCGTATTTATTATAAAACGTTGTTACAAATGACCTTCACGAATGGCCCACGTGTGAGTATTATGGAAATTTAATATCCCGTCTCGTGTAAAAGTACATTCGTCAGTCGCTAGAATGTTTTTATAAAAATCCGGATTTTCAATGTTTTTGTGCAAAATCCACTGACAGAATGTTAGTCTGCGAGGATTCTATGGACTATGGTAGCACCTTTGAAAAAATGTCAAAGATGACCTTAAAGCAAGAATCTAACTTTACGCATCTCTACAGGTAATTGATTGTTTCCTTTTAAGCTTCTTTTTTGATGATCAATGTTGTGAACTGTGTCTGTGTCTTTAGGTTGGGTTGGAAAACAGCGTGAGCTGATACACACTCTATTTGTCACTATTTTGTTTTCTTCCTGTTAAGGCCATTTATTATTATTACTATTATTTGAAGCCATGAAATGCAACAAGTTGTTATTTACTCAACATACTCGCTGATGCAGATGCGCTTGCTTTTTGGCTAGTCAGCTATATCCAATATGAAATTAGTGAAAACTAGCACCATCCACCCCACAAATATCGATCGTACATTCTCTTTTGCCCCGTCAAAGCCGCTATTTTCATCCGAAAACCGCCTTTCCAACACAGCTAAACGTGATCAAGTTCGTTGGTTCGTCGGCGACACCTTTGAAGTCACTCTGCTTAATTTGACGCTGTTAACTGTTTTAAAATTGGGCGCAAGTTTCGCTTTCAAGTCGCTACCACAAAGGGCCGAAGGGATTGTGGATTGAGGGACTATCCTTATTGAAACCAGACGAAAAGCGGCAAGGGAAGCATAAATTGAGCAAATTTGTTACGAAAACGATGGATAGGGCGTGAGAGGTGCTGGCGTCAAGGGCCGATAATTTGAATATCGGGAAAAATTTGACGTGTCTATGAGGATCGAGCTCACGGTCAGGTCGAGCGACAGCCGATTTGACATGACGATGGCTGAAGTATATTACATGTTTTACAAAGTATTGTGAAACATTTTTACAAAGTGCTAACGTATGTGCTAAGCGTTTTGGCACATATGGGGTTGTCCAAAGCGGACACAAGAAAGTAAACGCATATTAAAACAAGAAAGATTGATGTTCAAATCAAGTTGGGTACTTTATTTTGAAGGTTCATTTATACCATTTATGTATGAAAAATAATATCGCTCAAATGTAGACCACGACTGGATTTACAGACGTCCACGCGATGGTCGAAATTTTCAATGATATTTTGCAACATGGTCGGTTCTATGGCATTTATCTTGGCAATGATGTTGTTTTTGAGTTCTTGGAGGGTGGCTGGTTTGTTGACGTCCCCGGCCGCATTTTCGAAAAAGTAAGGTCCGATGATGCCTTTTGACCACAATGCACACCACACAGTCACTTTGTGAGGATGCATCGGCTGCTCTTGATACTCACGGGGATTTTCGTTCGCCCAGATGCGGCAGTTTTGCTTGTTTACCGTCCCATTCAAAGTGAAATGCGCTTCGTCGCTGAACATGATTTTTGATGAAAAATTGGCATCAATTTGGCGGTGTTCAAGGAGCCAATCTGAGAACGTTCGGCGCGAAAAATGGTCGGCCCGACGCAGCTCTTGCGTCAATCGGATCTTGTAGGCGTGTACATTCAAATCCTCGTGGAGAATGCGGAGCAAACCAGTTCTCGAAATGCCCAATTCTTGGGATCGACGCGTTGTTGATCGTTTCGGATCGTCTCTCACACTCTCCTTCACAACAGCAATATTTTCCGGTGTGCCAACGCTCCTTGGCCGGCCAGAGCCTGGCAGATTTGCCACAGAACCTGTTGCCTCGAATTTACGCTCCAGACGACCGATGGTTGTATCGTTTGGGCGGTTGTTGCGACCGAAATGTTCACGAAGCGCGCGAAACGTGTTTTTTATTTTTGCACCATTTTTGTAGTGCTCTTGAATAACTTTAATGCGGTCTTCAATCGAATACGACTCCATAGCGATCAATGGTAAACATTCAAATAACAAAATGACATGTCGGTGACAGAAAACAAAGATGGCGTCTATGTCAAATTGACGTTTACTTTTCTGCGTCCCTATTGGACAACTCATTACTTATCGCATTGTTTTTAATGAAGGAATTTATTTAAACACAAACTAGTAATCATAAATTACAACTCAATACTTAACTAAGCTATACTAGCGAATTATGTAAAGTCACCCATTCTGCCCTACCAGACGCAACTTTCTTCGAATTTCTCTCCATTGTCCGTAAATTCGCCGTCAGAATTGTTCTTCATCTTGGGCTTCCCAGCCTCCATGGTAAACCTTCCTAGACAGTGAAGCCCAAAAATCCTCTATTGGGCGAGAAAGTTTGGAAGATTATCGTTTTTGGGAACAAACGATATGTTGTATTGTCGAGGCCACTTTTGGGTATCCTTTAGGTAATGGCATGATGCTAGATCTGGCCAAAACATGATATGATCATTATCATGATGTTCCACGACAAGCTGCAATTTAGAAAGGCAGATATCAATATAGCTCTAGTTCATCCCTCACACTTTCCACAAAAGGTTAGGATACACCCCTGTTAGAAATTGCGCACGAGACAAGGATTTTATCTGCGAATTCCGCTTTATGTATTCATCTACGTTGTCCGTATAAAATCCTAACTCAGTAGGTAGGTTGCCTCCAAAAAATAAATAAGCACGTTCGTTCCTGATACGTAAGAGACTCAAGCAAATGTACTTGTTACTTGTCTAGACTAAGATACATAACAGACAACCTCCCCTAAGATCGGAAGTTTGCTATAGCATGACGTCACCACCGGGACTCCTGCAACTTGCGTCCTTGCACCAGGACGCGTCCTCGCGTAGCCAATAACGCTGCTAATTGATGGATACGTCGCGCTGTTGCCATTAGGAAGAGTCACCAGGCGCCAGGGAGACATCAGAATCTAATGCGGGAGTCCTACCTAACTTTCTTGATCAACATCGCCGGTACGCTCGCTCTCTCTCTCTCTGGAGGGGCAAGAAGTTAGCGATGTGCCGGCCTTCTGCGAATTATTTCTAGCATAGGGATTTGATGGAATAATACTAGAATCAGAATAGGCTACAAGTTAGATCTTTCCGTCTCAACTAGGTAGAATAAGCAAGCCGATATTGTGTCCAAAATCTCAGTCAGGATGAAAGTGCATACAATAATTGTAAGTTGATTTTTTGACAATTCTGTTAGTAGTGCTATTTTTTAAAAGTGCGAGAGTTTGCAGGTCTTTGTGGTGTGGTGATTTCAAGACACGATACTTCTTGCATAGTTCGCGAAGAGTGACACAAGCTTAAAGGAGGTAGGCCTTGCCACCGGTAAGTATTATATGTTGCTACAACGTTGCCACTTGAAATAGGCAATGGTAGTCAAATGAGTTAAGAGTATGCAATTTTGGCGATTAAAAATGCAATGTAAACATATGGACTTGTGTCCAAATCTATTCAAATTATCCTTTATTATGAGACGTATTTCTGAAGATTCTAATACAAGTAAGAAACGGCTAATGTTAGGCATGATTTGATGTGTAATCATCCAGGATGGTGTACCTCTAAAACGGGAATAATATTGGGAAACTGCTTTCGAAGCTGGCTGAAAGAAAATGAAGTAAGCAACGTTAGCATATAGCTAGCCTAGGAAATGATAAATAGATTAGTTCAAATCGCCCAAATATGATTCTTTGAAAATTTCAGTCTGACAACGGGCAACTGGATATTTCAGGAGAAGGAGTAGAAAATGTCATGACCACCGATTTAACTTTCGGTTACGCGTTGACGAATGAAGGTAACTAAATCCAATAAAATAAAAAACAGTAGATAGTAATAGTAAAACTAAAATAAATACGAAAATTTTGAAGACCATCCAGCTTTTCGGTGGGTGCCATGGCCGCTTCTCTTCTTCAAGTTTTTACAAAAACTGTTCAAAATTGTCCCCATTTTTTCGATTAACGTAAAATCTTGTGAGGTACTTCCAGAGTATTTACTGCTATTCGGAAACTCATTATTTTAGATGTTCATCAACTTCTTGCCTAAAATGGCTTGGAGCCCCATCATGTACGATCCACAAATTCTGTCTCACATTTAGAGGAACATCTCCACTTTGAAAACAACCTGCGTTTATTTTGTCATCACATTTTTTAACGACACGTTATGAAGGTATACGAGTAAAAACGCACAGAGTTTTTATTTCTCCGGGCCAGGTGATAATTAAAAAAACGAGAGATTCAATTTAGCGAAAGGGGGATACAGACTAAAGTACACCCTGTACATATCATCTCATCAACGACTGTAAGTGGAAAAAATGCAGAAACTGCAAGAACGTGTGTGTGTCGACTAGGCATGCCATTAATCATATTAAAAAGAGCCTGCGTTAATTGCTCTTTGTCTTTTTTCTTGATGACATCGGTGCGTCGCGTCCCTGCAAAGGGATTTGTGTTGACGACTGAGAGGCTGTGGACAGAGTCTCGGCATTTACTTTCCATTTAAGGTTGTAGTTAGAATCTAACAAATTTCTTTTCTTTTGATTGTTTGTTCTCTGTTTACTTCTTTGCCTTGTCTTGAGCTAGTTATTTTGCTTAAATGGGACCATATTCTGGCTGTTTTCTGTATCCCTAAATCAATCATCAGAAACCGTACAGATTCATATGACCATTATTCCGTTTTACAAGTTGCATCACCTGCTGGGTTTTGCTGCATAAAAATGTATGAAAAGGCAATTAAAATCAGAGCAAATGTAAAAATGAACACATCTAGTAGAAAGTGTGTAGCATCTATTGGATGTAGTCTAAAGTGAAATAAAAAAGAGTTGTATATTTTGCTATATTCACCCTTTTTTCTAGCACCTCCTGATAGTATGTCATCTTCAAATTTTATTTAAACTTGACACTAGCAAGCTTGCAAGCTATGAGCAGTTCTCTGATTTCACGGAATCTGCCAATTGACGACACAATAAACATTTCACACAAAACAAAATTAATATTTAGGGTGATTTGAAAAAAGTAGCGTAACCTAACAGTAAAATTAGTGTAACATCTGCAACCCATCCTGTGGTCCTCATACTGATAGAACTGCTCACATGTGGTGCCACCAATCCGACTACATTATTCATGTTCGATGTTCAGAGGGGGGCTGTCCGACTGATCGATGCATTTTCTCTAATGGACAGTCTCGAGACTCTTCCGCACCGACGAGCAGTCGGCTCTTCTACCGCTGTGTCAACGAGCTTTGTTCCTCGGAGCCCTCCTCCATGATGAGCCTGCTAGACAGACCTGCCTGACTTTTATACGAGCCGTGAACTGGCCGATACGACCGCTCCTTTACCCTTCAAGTGTCAATATGTGGTTTGATTTGGCCAAAAAAACACGGGGCTTGTCAGAAGCCTAAAACTCGGTACATTATTCGAAAAGTGCGGCACTACAATATAAGATAGTTGTCATCGTATTTTTCGTTGTCGGAACCTTATCCACGGCCGAAGGGTAGAAGCTAAGCGCCCTTATTTAAATACAAAAACAAGATGGGGGCTGACATTAACCGTGCGTGAAATTCAAATGGTGTCACGAAAAAACGTTTTTTGCAGCAGATTTTTTACCGGAGTGCCGAGCGTTTCATGAATATGACTCTCACCCGTTATGTAGAAACGAGCCTGTCACTGACAATATCATCTTTCATGTTGGAATATGCGCGGTTCTGCAAAAAGAAGATTAAAAGACAGTTATGACAAGTGTTCTTATGTAAGAAGCAGTGTTTTTCTTTCTGTCTTTGATTGAAAGAAACTCTAACTGTATTTTGAGGTATGTATAAATAAGTCCAGAACACACAGAAGGACTGTCACGATGCCCGGAGGCATAAAATTAAAAGTACTTACGCACAAAAGTTTTATAATAGTTTCAAATTAAATATGCTACTTCAGTGAAACTTTTATCTTTCCGACAGGGTAGTAGTGTTGGCTTAGAAATAGGCTTTTTTGATCTGAGATTCGGGACGATAAAGTTGATGTATGAATGTTTTACCGTACAATATATGGCTCATGTGGTACATCATTTTGAAGCTTCTTTATAACCCTTGGATACAAAGTCAAAGCCTTATACTCTAGACTGTTGGGAAATACATAAGAGAGAACCCACTGAAATCTTTTTTGTTTTTTTTGTGTGCAGGATACTTTTTAAATTCACTTTTCTGATCTAAATAACATTGAATTGCTGTTCTCGCACGGTGATACCGTGGTAAGTGCACACTAGGCGGCGTGGTGCAACTAGAAGGCGTGTGTGATTCGCTTGTAGGCTACCAGATGGGGTATTAAGCAGCTTAAAGGACAACGGAACAGTTGGTAGCATTAAAGTTCCGTCTAACATTCTACCCTGAAAGTTGGTTGACAGCTGGTGCTGTAGACTAACTGGTTAGGTCGGATACACGGAATGGAGGAGATGCGGATTCGAAAATCATCTTTCTCTCAAGTTGTTTTCCACTAATATTTCCATTTCGATTTTTTTTGCGGTTAAAACACGATTGGCATAGAAAGTAAATACCGTACTGAGTGCAAGTCTGTGTCCGTCCTTATTCTAACTAAACTGTTCATTTAAAGTACCTTGGAAGTTGAATACGAAATCCCTCGCCTTGCATTCGTTGCAATCCTTTTCGTATTCTAATTACGACTTGAAGTGACCCAATAGCAATGCACACAGGCAGATCCGTTTATCTAGCAACGAGGCCCACATAGATCTACGTTTCGTTTACCATCTCGAAACAGGAAATGTACTTAAAGACAATTAGGGAACGAATTCCGGAGTCTGAAGACCGAAGCCCGGATTCGAAGGTACGTCGTACACCGGACTTTCGAGATTATTTCATTAAAGGATCCGCAATCGCCACAGGATATTCGAGACGGATCCCGGTCGGTTTCCAAATTTGCCAAAGCCCCATGCTGCATGTCAAGTAGGCGCTGGGTTTGAACTCGACTTGTTGAGGAAATGCCCGCGTCCTTTGATGTGTGTCTCCCTTATTTCAGAGATAGGTAGAAAGGATCCTTTGTTGGAAACGGCGAGCTTTGTAGTGAAGACAATTTTCACATGAGATTTTCAAATTCGTCTGTTAAAACAAATCTAAGGGGCAATTTTACCAACATTAATATTTGACGGTCACTAATAATAAAAATCGCTTATCCGAAGGTTATCATTGATAGTATCGATACTTAAAATATTGGAATAAAATTATCGATATCCAGCTGAAGGAAACAAAGAAGAAAAGTAATCTGAAGTTAGTTACTCTTTCTGACACAGTCCGGATCGAAAGATGGCGATACTCGTGAAATGTATCGATACACCCAAGTGTCGTATATAAAAATATCGATCCAAAATATCGAGTATGGGAAGAAAAAGTATCGATACTTCTAAGTATAGGATCGTATCGTACATCCCTACTGTCAAGATGTATCACCCGAGGTACCGACGCAGCTATTTTGGGGCGTCATGGAAATAATTTTAAATTTTCATTTTCATTTTTTCAAGTGTTGTGCAACGATATTGGGAAAAATTCTACGAATAGTCGTATAAAATATATTCCATCAGTTGGGGGAGCGTACTATCAATGCACAATCTGGCAACCATGTCGCACCCTCAAAAAATGGCCGCTGACAGCCACACAAGTCACCGTGTTGTGATTGAATAGCATGGAATTAAACCTTCAGAGAATATGTTTTGTGACTGGTACCAAGAGTTGACAGATCCCACACATGTGTCACTCCTTGAAATGCAATAATCAGCTGTATTCAAATAATGTCTAATATAAATATAACTTAGAATGTGTGCTCGTGAAAAAAGAAAAATATGGCAAATTTGTAGTTTTTTTGCAGGTTTTAGGTTTGCTGGTAGCTTTAAGGCATATATTTGGGAATTTCTTAGTCGCTGTGAATATAGTGTGGATGTTTGTTCAGTTCCTGAACAACGAATATTAATGAATGCTTGGAAACGAGCAATAACTATGAAATTTTTGGTAGAGTCTGTCATCAAGTAGGTATTTAATGGCTATCTGCAAGAGGTTTATAGGAAGAAAACACGGGAGCTGATGTTAAATCCGTAAAAACGCATATCATTTGAAGAAAGTAATATAAATATGAATAAAAAATCAACAATAGTAATTAGAACATACCATTACGGACAAGAAAGTTTGATAGGATAAAACTATGCAGTGCTTCTCAAAAAAAATTCTCTCTATTTATTTTTTTAATAGGTTAAGTTAGTAAGCCCAAAATCGGAAAGATCAAATTGATACAGTCAAAATTCCGAGATGGAGGACTATCTTTAAATAGTATGGGGGTCATATGATATCTCAATTTGAATCTCCGCATCAGTACTTTTAAACCTTAAAGTCTAAATCCACTGTCTTTTAAAGTGGCGGACTGGCGTGCTGTCAAAGTTGTGCGTTTTTGTACGATGAATCGTTATCGTACGTCATATTAATCTTCTTCTATTGGAACTAGATGTGTAATAAAATAAGGGACAAAAAAATTTCACATCTTGACAATTTTTTTTATCCAATATTTCAAGGAACTTTTTCACCTCTGCCTGAATTATTATAAAAAACAAATTTTATATTTTTATATGGGGTAAAAGGGTTGACAAACACGTAGAAGAAGATGAGAGCTTTCAAAGGAGAATATTGAGAAAATATTAGTTTTTTAGATAGCATGTCGACGCGCACAGTGAAAGTGGATGAAACAACAACATGAAGTTCCTAGTCCTCAAAAACATACAGGAATGTCAGATGGAAAATGTTCCGTGAATAATGTGCAAGATTATTTTTCACCACTTGCGACCCGGTTTTGTATAAAAAATATTAGTCCGTTATTTGCAAAGAACTAAATAAAGTATTTGAGCATTCCTTATTCCCTGATTACCGCCCTGGACAGACGTAGGCCATTCGTGCGGCTGACTTATTTATAGTTCAGTTAAAGTTTATTATTTTTCCACCAGAATATGAAGGGAGTCATTTACTTCGCTGCATTTAAAACAATCATTTGGACCCAGTAGTGGTTACGCTTTGGGAAAAAGGAAAATAAAATACTTTTTGCCATTATTTAAACCTGAACGGTAACCCGTAAATCCAAAATCCCGGGATTTATTATTACATAAACATTATAATATTCTTATTGTCATTTATCTATATACTTTAGTTATGTCCGTATTTATTTTTGTATGGGTTAAGTGGAGGATTAGCTTGAGCTATTGACACACATAGAAAAACGTGTATTATTATCATTAGTTTGATTTACTTCTGAAAAACGTTTCTCCAGAGGCGCTCATACCTCCATCAGATGGAGAACGAAGTAGCTTTACGTTCCGGTTCCACAACCCAACCGATCTAGCACGCTTCGGCTAACGTTGTTACCCTCAACAAATGACAATCACTCAAATCAAGTCGTAGCGCCCGCATGACTTGGGCTTCCAACGGCGCTCCTTCGATAGCTCCTCCGTTGCTATTTCATATTCCGGCATCGCGCATCAAATCAGAATTCATGAATATCCGTCATAGAATTAGGCGGCAAGGCGGCGCGTAAACGCGGCCCGTCAGTCTATTCTGGCGGATGCTGTCTTGCATCCGGTTCCGGTCTGGCTTGTCAAGTGGAGCTCTGCCACCTGCCTAACACGTCTACGTCTCTGTTGTATTGCGAATAGTTAGGCGTGCGGAGAACAGTCGAAAGGTTTCTGATAGAATCCGCAAATTGGAGGTGAAGGATCTTTTGTGCTGAGCAATTCAAGCGTTTATTGAGGGAATTTAAGAATATTATAGTGGGAAGCATTTAAAAATCCTCAAGTATCTACAATCTCCACCAGAACTCGTTGCCAAGGTGCGGGTAAACCGAGTGGGTAGTCAGTTTTTCAC